ACAACAGAACCCCAACAACCTGCACAAAGGCGCTGGGAACAATGCACCTCGGAACATCTTAATTAAAAAAGAAAAAAACCCGGCTCGGGTCCATACGCGCCGCATCAAGATAGAAAACACAAAGCCTGACTCACTGTGCGGAAGCCAAGCCCCCCCCCCATCTCACCCTACCCTCCTCCTCCTCCATCACCCAGGCTGATCCGCGAGCATCAAAACAAAACAGAAAAAAAAACCCAGGCCCCCATCAGGAGGAAGCCTCCACGTACCGGACCGCGTTGGTCAGACGCGGTTAGATGGCTCCCGTCCCCGGACGCGCACCGCTCTCGGGCCCCGGTCGTTTGCTGTCAAACGCGCACACGCAGCTGCTCATTCAGATCTGCGCGCGGTCCGCGTGCACGAGGCACGCTGACGTCACTCGAGACGCGCGCCCCCTCTTCCTCCCATCTCCGTAAAAGCGAGGAGGATGCGCAACATCGTATGGACCTGGCCTGGTCGGGTTTGTTCTAATGTTTGTCCGGCACAAACAGGCCGGACAAACACGGGCGTGGTCCCACGCGCTCATTGTCCAAACTGCCCCCTCGTCAAACTAATGGAAAGGCTAACAGAAAAGACAATAACAATGGATTCAATGCACTCAGACTGGGTCCAAGGCTCCAGTTTTGCCTTCGCATCAACTTAGTCCAATTGAATTTACCTAATAAATAGATAAAAAGTCAGATTTCTGTCTGCCTGTAGGGAGCAAAACCTGCAAAAAGCTGCACAGATTTGGATCAGCGTGGTCACAAGTAGGATTTTTAACTCCCCATGTCCAGCCTGCAGTTTGTTTGTTCAAACTCACAACCTGTATTTCTGTCCTTGTAACAAAAGGATGCTTTAATGTTAGTGTTTTAACCTCTCTTAAAACCAGCTCTTTTATTCCTAAACCTGCTCCGTTTTTCCTGCCTCTGACAAAGCAGCTGTGCTGTTTTAAACAGTGAATCAAACTGAGAGCAAAAAAAATATATATATAATAATCAATGAATGAAAACAAAGTGGGAAAAAAAATGGCTTCCATTCGTTCCTCCTTTTAGGACATTTTGCCAATTAAAGCGAGCAGTTCGTTTTGATCTTTGCCAGGGTGGGACTCGCTCTGGGCCCTTTGTTCCCTGTCTGACGGCGGGAACAAATGGCGCGCAAGGTCACGCGTGTGCTGAAGGGCCTCCTCTCGTTTCGAATGACCACGACTGACCCCCCCCCCGCCGAACCGGGAGTCACAGGGCGGCTGTTCACCTCCGCCCTACTCACCATGTAGCCTCACATAGTGAGCATTGTGGAGAGCAAACTCCAGCTGAAATGGTTAAAAATAAAAGAAAGAATCAATAGAATGGTTCAAATCAGTGCTGCGGTGGATGGAGATTGATTTTGTTTTCGGGCCCCCTGGGACCCATCAGCTCATTAGCACCAGGATAGCAACAGAAACAGAGTGATTGAAGAGATTTGTATTCATGTTGACTCCTACTGAACACAAACTGGTCCTTTATTAGATCTGTGTGTGGTGTTCATTGTAGAAATTGGAATACAGTTGGGAAAATTCAAATTTTCAATTCAAAAGGTATGTTGATGATAGCTTTCATAACCATGTGAGTATATATGTACATATAAAATAAAAGCAGAAAACATGCTTTTAGACTTAAAATAATATGATACATCTCACATGTATGATATATTTTATATAAATATAAAAATGGATAGACTGAATATAATCCACATGTCCTTTACATCAGTGTAAGTTATTAACAAACTGCATGAAAAACGGGAATAAAAATGTAGTGTTTTGTGGTCGGGTAGAGATTTATCTTTGGTGTTTCGGTAACTCCAGTTTAAATTGGAATCGGTTCATATTCAGGAACCCACAGTTTCTTAACCATCCATCCATGTTTTCCTCCAGTTAAACATCATTGAGGTTTCAGTGGCTGATGGTCAGAAGCTTTTCAGCTTTTCATAACATTTGGGTTTGGTTTTGGGTCGGGACGATGACACAGCACTTCCCAGTCTGGACTCGCTTTGTCTGCTTGGTAAACCCATAGTTGTCCTTTTCCCCCCCTTTCCGTTTGGGGTGGCTTTGTTTGGCTATGATTACTCACTGTAGCATAGTATGCTATCACATGATCTATGTAAATGACTGATTGTCTTATTCCTTTTAGAACTAAACTTTTGTGTTGAAGTCTCTCGCTGTGTCCACATACTCTCTTTTTTCTTTTTTTCTTTCTCTGTTGCATTAGATCCTCCTTTAGGTCAACACAAACACACACCATTTGTTACCACATTCCAATGTCATCTGCATGAATTAGGACCTGGCCTGTTCATGCCCAGAGGTAACTGGCCAATAGGACTTGCCCATCACACCCAGATCTCAGGGCTCTTTGCCCACTGAGACCCAGAGAGAGGTTTTTGTCTGTTAGAGCCCAGCTGATATACTTAACTGTGACCAAATAAATGTCATTTTTTATACTTTTGATCCACTCTGGTTTATTCTCAGGTTTCAAACTAAAGAATCAGGATAACAAACCCCTGTCGCCATGTGCAGTCAGGGATAAAGAAAGAAGAAAAACAACAACACTTTCCTATTTTAACTTAGAGCCTAGATATAATTCATTTCTATCTCTTTTTCTGAGGGTAGTTTATTCCACAAACCTGAGTCATGCACATTTAAAAGATTCAGCCGTAATTTAAAAGCCCCGACCTGCTCGTTAGCTCACTCTTATGCTAAATAGAAGCATCCGGACTGTTAAAGGTATTGTGGCAGAGTGCAAAGAGGTTCAAAATGCTCGGATAAAGCACAACGAGCCCATTTGAAGGGATCGTTTCAGCACAGATCGTGTACAGGTCACTGTTTTAGGACCTGCTCTGAGTTCTGCTCTCGTCCAAAAGAGGGCAGTGCAGCACAGGGCAGCCGCGCCGGCCTTTAATGGGCCTCTCTCTGTTGTCTGGGGCCCCGAGCTCTCATCTGTTGGCTTCAATTTATTTCATCCCGGTGTACCGCTGCTGATCTAATGGCATGTACATTTCTGTTGTCACCTAAAGGGGAATTTCTTGTCATGCCCCCCGAAAATTGATGTACCTGTTTGCAGCCCTGGACAGTAAAGCCTCCCCGGCAGTGTGTGAGCAGGGAGGTGCGTTTAAGGAGCCCGGTTACGGGCAAAGATTTGGAAGGCGAGCTTTGTGCAGAGCTCGGCCGGCTTAATTTGATTATCAACAGGGGAAACGTTGGGCGCTTTGATCCTCCAGCGGCCCCCGGGCCTCCTCGTACAGCTACAGCTTGTTTTCGTGAAACCACAAACCGGCGCGTTGCGTTCGCTGGCTCTTTCATCGTCAGAATATTCCACTTTCTTCCAGGAAGTTCCTCGGCCCCCCGATCCCAACCGTGACCCCTGATATCATCTGAGGGCTTCAGATATGAGGGCTCTGGCAGAGGGGGTGTAATCTCAGTAAATGCTCGTGTCCTTCACTCTATCTGATCATCCTCCTGATCTTACCGTCTCTACCGGCCTCTTGGTCGGCATTAAAGTAATTTGAGTTCAACCGGATAAGGCAGGAAACCAATCAGGGGCATTACATTAAGTGATGTTGTTTGGGTCTAATTCAATCAGGACGGAGTCGGAGAAATTCCTTTTTTTTTTTCCCGTATTGATCAGAGACACGCGTCACTATAGATTTTCTCTGACATTTTGGCTAATCCGGCGTCGCGGCGGGTTTCAGTCCCGAGTTCTCCTGCGTATTAATGAGCTGTGTGTCTCATATTCCACGGTCATTAGTTGTAACACCGGCTAATGTCAGGATTGTGTCCTGTTTTTTTTTTTGTTTTGTTTTTTTTCCCGGGCCGTGTCTGAATCAGTGCGCTCATTAGCGGGCGCCGCTAGCTTCCCGGAGAGTGACCGCCCTGACCCCAAAAATTGCTCAATTGACTTCCTCCGTCGTGCAGTTATATGTGAGCTGATGGGGAACCGTGACATTTACGTCCGCACCACTTCAGAACGACCCCGTGCTCCGCGGGAGTTTTTGACATAGACCGAAGCTAAAAAAAAACAGGTCACAGAATCAAAAAAAGTGTCTTTTTTGCCTGAAGGAGTCGATCATTTCCACTTCTGCACATCTCTCTCTCTCCCCCCCCTTTGCTGGAACACATTTAGATCCCGGGTAGAACTCCTCGGTGCCCACTCATCACTCTGCGCGCTGTTTGAAGATTACTACGCTCACAGACATCCGCACTGGGCATCCAGGCAGCTTAGAGGCCGAAATCCATAATCCCTTACCCTTCATGGGAATTCTCCATGCACTTCAACATGCTGAAATACAGCCCCGCTGCAGCAGCCGCTCATGCCGGAGCGTCCGTGGTGAACGTGGAAGAAGTTAGATTTGAGGAGAAGTTAAAGGCGAACGGCGGCCTCCTCCCAGCCACAGAACTGGCAAACGGAAAATAGACTGGTTTTGTCTCTTCCAGGGTCTTTTATTCCTCGTGTGCCGGTCAGTCCGCCGTTTAAATGTAAGCCATAACAGCCCGGAAGACATTTTGCTCTGAAATGAGGGGTTGTTACATTAGTTGGACCCGGCAGCAACGAAGTCTCAATAAAGATTTTCCTCTCAGGCTTCGGTGGCTTATTAAAAAGCGTAAATAAATGTAGTTCCTTGATTTAGTAATGGGCGTGAACAAGTAATATCTAAAGTTCAGCTGTTGTAGCCGAAGGACCGGGGGGGGTTCCCTCCCCCCCCCCCCCCCCCCCCTCCAGGCTGCTCTCCAACGCTTTGTTAGTCTGCTGAGCTAAAACCCATTTATTAGCTTGGGGAGTTAGTCCTGCAGTGAGCAAGAATAATAAAAGTAATTTCATATTCAGATTTGGTATATTCTCATTATGAAAGTGCTTCTTTAATAAACCCATTCCCCTTTCCCACCCCCTACCCCCCACCCCCATCACATATGTAAAAAAAAATTGAGAGACAAAGAGAAAAGGTCAATCAGGAAAACCACTGGATATTTCAGGCTAATGTCTTTAACTCTTCACAATCGAGTTTTCATCGGCATCAAATCAGAGATTTCTTCTTTTTTCTTTTTCTTTTTTCTTCCTTCCGATTCTTTCTCCGGGTTTCTGTCACGACGCTGACCTTCTTCAGATATTTCCCTTCAGAGCCTGACTTTAAGCCTCCTGAAGGCTCGGGAACATGCATGAACCGGAGAGTTTCCGAGTTGTCAGTCATCGTGGTTCATTACGATTCCCGGCCTTTTCCGAAGATTCCGAATCTTTTGCATATCGGGTAGAAAAGGAGCAGAGGAAAAATTCCTCCTGCTGTTGTAATGTTTTTTTTTCATTCTTTTTGGCCCTGTTTAATATTTTTGTTCTGCTCAAAGATGTCTCACTCAGGGC